GAACGGCCGAACGCATCCCCAAGGGGTCCCATACGTTCGGGCGTTCGGGTTCGGGTGTTCGGCCCGTCCCGAACGCCGGTTACCCTGTATATATATATATTAAAAGAAGACAATAAAATAATAAAATAATAAAATAATAGTTTACTAATAAAATATTTATTTTTAAAAATGATTATAATTAAAATAATAATAAAATAATAATAATAATTAAAAAAAAAAGATAAAAATTTAAAAATAAAAATTAATAATTTTTTTTATATTAAAAATAATAATAATAAATAATAAAAAGTGATTTTTATAAAAATATATTTATAAAATAATAATAAAAAATTAATAATTACATAATATATAAAAAAAAAAATTAATAAAATTTTAAATTTAAAAATAATAAAATAATTTAATTAAAAAATAAAATAAAATAAAATAAAATAAAAAATAATAATAAAATAAAAAAAAGTAAATAAATAAAATTAATAAAGCAAAATAAAAACAAAAAAATATTAAAAATAAATTTAAATTTAATTGAACTGATATTAAGATAAATCCTACCAAGTTTCGATCAATAACAAACTCATATAAACAAAGACACACCCCGAGAACTCGACTATTCCTAACACCTTTTATACTGTACGGTCACCAATAAACCTATACAGTACGTGTATTAGAACTATGTTTTTTTACTGCTACATCGGTTCATACAGTTTAAGTTATGGGTGTACCTAATCGCATAATAGAAAGCTTACACGTTAGACTAAGGCAAAAATTGCACGCGCCTAGGTAGAACCTAAAACCCACACACTATACAATTGTACTCTGTACGGTCTAAACACTACATGTTAAAAACTCATGAGCGAAACGACGCGAATACCACTAAATAGGACAACACCCATGCATTAAAAACAAACCGGTATCAACATCACCCGCTTCCTCCATAGCCAGTCCTTCCCGCTCAGGACAAACAATACACACAGCTACACGGGATAGCCCGTAAAAAACAAAAACCTCGAATCGTATGACGAGAAAGCTGCCCTGGCAAGAAAACTACAAGACAAGCCCCGGGTCTCGATATACAGATAATTCACCACTATGCAGACAATATCGAGCACGCAGAACAGACAATACACCCATATGCCCACCTCCAGGCACTTCCGCCATCCCTCGCCACACCCCGGTATGATATTGATACATTTTTCTACAACAAACCCTTACGCAAGGCATACTTAAAAAAACAATAACCCCTCTACATGGCAGCATATACGTTGTACCAGTCCCTTGCACGGAGACCCCCATATTATTTGTGGTCACACGTACACAGACATAGCATCCACCACCACACCCCCCGCCCCTCCAATCTTCACCCTGAAATATTACAGATACAGGACGATACCGAGCCCTCTAAGCAAATACGATACCAGACTCAAACCCCTCAACAAAGGAGCAAAACGGATTCTACTAGTCCCCTACACAGAACACACACCTAATATTACCCCTCACCCCCCTTCATACATGCCTGGCGCCCCCTCCCCCCTGCTTTACACACCAGCACCTTATCCCTACGCTTCCCAGCTTGCGTTCAGAATGGATGCGATATACAACCTACGCCTACATAATAATATAATAGCTCATAAATGCATTATACACCCTCATGCTCGCTTGCATACGCAAGTACACGCAGCTTCCTGCGGTAACGCGGAAGTAGTTGATCCACGTCTTCTTCGCCCCCCAGTTCCCCGTAACACCGGTCCCTTTTGCACGAGCCTGCTTGCTCGCATGCCGCATTGGGTACCTGAGTTTTGTCACACGCATCTCAGTGCATCGTACGCAGTGCTTACGCTGTAACTTACTGACGGTTCGCTCCACGGCTACGATTCGAGCTATGGCGGCATCGGACCTTCCTGTGGCACCGACCATGACTACTCAGGTCAGACTTGCTAACTCTATTCCCCCTGATTGCCTGTTATGGCCTGCATCTTGACCCCCTACCCGTACTAACAGGAGCATTTACTAAGCTAACCCCTCTGATGAGCTGCTATGGGTGCTAGGCGGCGAAAAGCGCGCTTAAGGGCGTGCACCCCCCTTACGGTTGGGTCTTCAAACCCTCTCCTAACATCTGCTAACATGCTAACTCTAATTGCTCCTACATTTTGTTGTGTGTATGCTGTGTGTGGCTAACATGGACTATAAGGCTTATGTCTAATGTCCCAAAAAAAAAGTTTTTGGCAGATAGCTGTGTTGCTACACAACCCCCCCCACACACTCTCCCGGATCATTGATCCTGTTGCTATGGCTGGGGTCGAATCCCCACCACTTTAGACTATGCCGATCGTCCGACCTAACATTCTCATATGCACCACAGTAATCACAAACCTAACAAAACCTACTTCTCCAACCTATCCGCCACCCCTATCCCCCACCCTCCCACCCCGCCCCCCCACACCCCCCCCCCCCCCCCCCCCCCCCCCCCCCCCCCCCCCCCCCCCCCCCTGTCCCCATCACCAATTGCCCGCACATCTATAAATCATACCTTCATTACTTTGATTAAATGATTACATGTTACTCTCTACACATTAAAATATACATATTGCTACGATACATCATCTATTTAATATTTATAGTCCTCCGGCATAGTTATACGTAAAACCTCACGTCTATCTACAATAGAACTTCCTGTATCTTTACAACTTAAACCCTCGTTTTGTGCTCTGAGACCGATCTCCCATATAATTGCGCACCCCCCTACATACGACTCTTTATGCACACCACTCCAATATTGTGAGACAAACAGCTT